TATCAAAAGCCCTATGGGCATTTCAAGCTTAACCGTGGATTTTAATACCACGAAAATACATGAAATGCATACATACATATGTATTTTCGCTAACTCAGAAACCTACATACATACATATTTATATATATGTTTAAGTATGCATGTATGTAAATCCATTAGCGGTTTAAACTCAATCGTGAAGTGCCAAGAATACGGCTGCATTCCATGGATACTTAAAAACATATACACACATATTTAATCATACGTACATTCGAATAAACATATATTTTTGGTCTCACCTTAATATGCTATGTATAAATGTACATTAGGTTGTCCCTGCGAATTCTATGCACACAACCATATATTTTCCTTTAGGCCTAAATAAAGTTCGACTCTGCAGAAAAATGTATCAATCGATAAAAAATAACCAACTTGTAGTTAGCTTTTTTGCGGGATTTCTATAAAATAGATTAAAAAGCTAACTTGTAATTAGTTGAAAAGTAGTGCAGGAGTAATGCAAACGTAATCGTTTCTTTAAACAAGGTTCTTTTTAAATATTCTCATACAAATTTTACTTTGAGTATCATTTCTTCCTGAACTTCATAAATACTTTTTTCAAATGTAATGTTAACTAAATAAAGTCAATAAATAAACAAGTAAAAAAATTAAATAAATATTGGTTTTTTTATTAATACTTTATGCGCAAAATTAGTTAGTTACCAGTTAGTTGACTTCTCATGCGGGGGTAACCGCCCCTGACTATTTCGCGGCCATCGCCATAGAAATATATGTAATTAGCCTTTCTCATAGAAAATATATAGATAATAGTGGCCTTTAGTTCCCCCCTAATCAACTTCAAGTTAACTTATAGTTAGAAGCATTTCATGTAAGGGTATAACCCTAATGTGTGTGCAAATTTTTAGTTCCCTAATATTTTTCACAAATACAAACATACATATATACGCATTTCGAAGGATTTTTTTTTAACATCTTTCACTTGATAAAACCAAAAAGAGAAAATTTACCTGATTTCCAAAAAAAAAAAAAAATCCCCTTATTTTTTGGAACACTCTAATAGGTATATACACATTCATATATATCTGTGCATGAGTGTGTGAAAAATGCTGTTGTCGCGGTCTACCGAGTGCAAAAATTTTGCGGGTAAATAATGCAAAAGTGAATAACGCATATAAAATATATTGACGTTTAATACTTAAATTATGATTGAGTAAAAGTAAATTGAATAACGGTTAACCATTGTGTGTCATAACAATGAAAATATAAAATACGAATATGAATTGTGTATTTTTTGCTGTTCTGCACTGGAATTTAAATAACCCAAATGGTGAAAAAACACTGGTGCACTGCTTCGGAATATGTAAATTGAGAAAAAATCGAAATATCGGCAATATCGGTGCTTGGACATAACTACCTCTCATACGTACATTCTTAATTTTAAAAGCTTAATTTTAGCTACAATTATAGGCAGAATAAAGCGAAAATTGGTAGCTTTCTGTGAAAAATTGTGATCTTATGCTCTGTGGCCAAATTTCGTTTCGTTCGGTTCAAGGACATGACTACCCTCCCAAACATCCTTTTTCTCAAAAATTAGTTTTTAGCTATATTTGTGATCAGAATGTACTAAAAACTAATGAAAGCTTATGAAGTTAAACTTTTTAACTCTATGGCGAATTTCGTTTCATTCGGTATCAGGAAATGACTAACTCCTTTATGAATTTTAGTTATTTAAAAAAATTTATAATTTAATATTTTATTTAAAAACGATCTTAAATAAGAAATTTCCTAAATTTGCTCAATAAATAAGATAATTTATTTTAAATGTATTTTATAATATTGTAGTTTAAAATGTACATATATCTCAATTTCTTCAAATTCCTTCTTTTTTTGTAGACCTAAGTGATGATAGTTCCGGTTCCGACATTAATAACAAATCAGCCATTAAATCTCTCGTCATTTTTCTTTTATGGGAAAGTCGCACATTACCATTATATTTTTATGACTGGCTTCTAAGGCATTTTCGGACAATGCAATTAAATAATAATAAATAATAAAATTCGTAAGTGTTCTTTTATTTCTTATTACTTTTGCGCTTCTTCTATTAGGTTTTCCTGCACCATTTTTTTATATAATTCGTTTTTCCATAAATCTAAAAATTTTGAAAAACTGGAAAAATTTACGTTCAAACATGCAAACAAAATACTGACTATGTAGTTGTCATTTGACCCAGACGCATAAACAAAGTTGAGAGTTGAGCTAATTTGTGCGGCAGTATCATCGTCAGCTTTGTTGATATTGTATCCAAAATTTAAGCGTATCGATTGTACTTCACATTAAATAAAAAAAAACATTTGAGTTTCGGTCCTAATTATTGTTCTTTTTTTTGTTTTCTCAAAAATATAAATAAAAAATACATCGCAAAAAAAAACAAAATTAGAGTCGCCCAACGTGGGGCTCGAACCCACGACCCTGAGATTAAGAGTCTCATGCTCTACCGACTGAGCTAGCCGGGCAGTCAGCCGCATTTTGTCAAAGTCCGTATTTGAACGGCAGCAGAGCAAGAAATCTACTCTCCTTTTTGTTATGATCATTCTCCCTAGTTATATTTAGATCTCTTTCGTGCTGCCATACCGAAGAAAAGTTGAGCACTAAATTCAAAATTTCTTTCCAATAAATTGAAACCTAGTTGTCCTGAACGGCAACACAGTTATAAGATTGTTCATGTAGCATTAATTTTAAAAGTTGTCAAAAATTATAACGTTAAGGGCCGATTACTCAATGTTTGGTTTAACACTAATCTGCGGTTAAACATAGTTATCAACGTTACAGACTCCCTGTTGCATGCATGGAGTCGCAAACGTCGATAACGCTGTTTAACCGCAGATTAGTGTTAACCAGACATTGAGTAACCGGCCCTAAGGTGTTCACTTGTCCACAGAACTTGAAAAGTAGAGAAAATTGAGGGAGCTAAGTAACAGTTCGCTTTAAGGGGAAGATGCAAATTTTTATTGGAAAACTTTGAGCTTACAACAATTTGCAGTAGAAAAACGGTTGATGGCATGTTTCCGGATGCGATTCACGCTAATAAAGGAATTGTTTGTTGGGCTTTTATAGACATTACAATTTTTAATTAATTGTTAATTAACTTAAATTAATAAGATTTTTTAATAACATTTTTTATTAACTAAAGATAACATCAATTCCCTTCGTTGTAACTCGGTTGACAAATATCATTTATTATTTGTAAGTTATTGTTGTCTTTCCATTACATTTGCCATTTAAAACGGTCTCAAACTCAATAATAAATTACCAGTCTCGAACTAAATAAATTTCAAAATTACTTTTCAATTGACCTTTTATAAAACGGATGATATAAGTGCATTTGACTTATTTTTTAGTACAAAAAATATAATTATAATAATAGGTTGGCGCTTACATATATTTTAGTGTTTGGCCGAGGTTCTGCTCTGATTTGTGGACCGTTTACGCCGACTCCGAATGACGATTGTATATTTATGAGAAGCTGTTTTTCATGGCAGAACCGCCATTATCAAAAATGCAACCGCCAAGCACCTAGGCCCCCTAAGGACCCCTTAGAAAAATGGGCAAAAATCACAATTTTCACTTGCGTTTTTGCCGATTTTAAACAAACTAAGGCACTGACTCGATCAAAACGCAGGAAACACTTGGAATTGTAATACAATTTATAATTTAATTGCTAAAGTTTATATTAGCGATAATAAAAACAATATTACAACAATGTAACAAAATCACAAGCCGATACGAATTTGCAGCTAGTAGTTACGTATTTACGTTGAACTGTCAAATTGCCGAATGAAGAAGAGGTGCGTAGTTAACCCAACAAGCAATTGTCCACAATATTTTTGCGAAGAACTACTACGAGTTATGTGCAAAAATACTGTGGATTACGTAAAGGGTTTCGGCCCCCTTTCTTTCGCAACACAGAAAGGAGAATTCCACTTAGGAAGGTTTATAATTCCTAAGCGCGGCCGAAGGCCGCCTACGCAGAAAGTAGTTATGTGCAAAAATACCGTGGATAGCGGAGGGGTTTTCGCCCCCCTTTATTTCGTAACACAGAAAGGAAATTTTCACTTACGCAGAAAGATCTTCCCAAAAATGCTGTGGATAATTGCTCGTTGGGTTAACCACCCGCCTCTTCTTCATTTGGTCATTTGATATTTCGACGTAAATAACTATTAGCTGCAAATTCGTATCGGTTTGTGATTTTGTTACATATTTGGGGTATTCACAACAGTGTCGTATTGTTGTATGTCGTGAACTTTAAACGCCTATAAATATGTTAAGAGGTTCGCAAAGTACCATCAAAGTCATATTAAGAATGTTTGCAGTGTTCAAAAATAGTTGGCTGTCGTTTCAAGTTCTCTAAACATTTATTTAAGCTTTTAAAGTTTACCGCATACAACAATACGACACTTACGACACCGTTGTGAATCCCTCAATTGTTTTTAATATCGCTAATACTAACTTTAATAACTAAATTATAAATTTTAGTATGATTCCAAGTGTCCTGGGTTTTGATACATATCAGTGCTTTCATTTGCTTAAAACCGGCGAAAATGCAAGTTAAAGTTGTAGTTTTTGGCCATTTTTCTAATGGGTCCCAAGACCTACAAGAAGCTTAGGTGATCGGGGGTTGCTTTTTGTCAGTGGCGGTTCATGACCACTACAGAAAGAGGGTCCGAGGTGACTCAGCCCTTCCCCTTCTGCCCACCGCCCTTATTGGAAAGTTTCCCCGCAGGGGGTTTGCCATTGCCCGCCGAGATGCGACCGCTGTTAAGAAAAACCCTTTTTTCTACATTCTTTGCGATTCTGCTATAACCAGGCTGAAATGCGACAAATAAACGGCTTATGAATCCCCTAACTAATTCAATTACCATTTTTATTAGCTGATATGGCAGCACTGGAATGCCATATTGCATAAACAAAAATCAGCTGTTTTCCAAGGTTTTACAACGGGCGAAGGAAGAGGAAGTTTACAAAGCGTACCGGTGCAAATTTGACTTAATTTTGTATTGAAATCAGATTAATTACAACTATAAAGAGTGAGATCCTGGCGTCAAAAAAAAAAAGAAATTAGATTAGCTTAACAAATAAAAATGGTGCATTTACCTACATTCACAGCAAGGCATTTATTAACAACTGCAAAATATTACACCTTTCGACGTAGCATTTCCGCGCTATACATAACCGGAGACAAGGCAAAAAAGAATTATGCTCCTCTTCAGCCATACATGGATTTCGAAGGAACGCTTAACAGTTTAGCTTCCCTGGAGGATAGTATAAAAGCGCGAGGATTGCAAATAAACCTCAATGAAATAAAAGCAAAATATGAAAAATATAATAGCTTGCAGAGTCAAATAAAGCAAGTAGAGGCTGAGCGAGATTCAGTGTCCAATAAACTAAGAGAGATTACTAAAGTGAGTTCCGTTGTAGTTTTATTTTTACACCAAATATTTACCTTTCATTCCTTTCAGGCGGGTGCTGCAAGAAAAGACGAAATCGAGAAGCTAAAACAGAGTGGTGTGGAACTCAGAAATCATTTAAAAACACTTAAAACACAAAGCTACCCCATTGAAGAAGACTTCGTACATTCATTCTTAAGTTTGCCAAATACTTTGCATCCGGAATGTCCCCAAAACAATTTTGCAAAATTGCTTTACCGCAGCCCTACAGCACGTTGTGAGGAGCAACAGCCCACACATTTGGCTAAAAAAGACTTAATACGTTTTATAAAAAATGATCGCTATTACCTGCTAGGGACACCGGCGGAATTCGATGTATATAGCATGCAAGCTTTAACCAATTACTTTGTAGAGAAAGGTGGTTTCATGCAAATGTCAAATCCGGACTTTGTACGTCTGGTACTACTGGAAGCAAGTGCAACACCACTAGAGCACTACCACTTAGTACAAGAGGAGGATAAACCGAGCGAAATTAATCGCGCATTTCTTACAGGTGGCGCAACATTTGAAGGATTCCTAGGAGCCTTTGCACGTTTAGTGGTTTATCCAACGTCTTTGCCATTACCGTGCGTAGCGGCTGGTAGAAGTTACGAAATTGTGCCCAATACCAGCGGATTACCGGATAGCCTTTTTACTGCCACACAATCAAATGCTGTACAAACGTTTGTAGCTACACGAACAGCTGAGGAAGCTTATGAGCAGATGGAGAAGATATTAAATTTAGCTGTAGATTTTTACAAAGAACTTCGTATCCATTTTCGCATAACCTATGCAGACGCCAGTACGTTGACGAACGCAGAATGTTTACGTGCTAATATTGAAATGTATTCGCCAGCAGAACAGCGTTACATTTGTGTTGGACGAGTTAGCAATTATAGTGATTATGTTTCCAAGCGGATAATGTTTTGCATTCGTGGAAAAAATAACTACATTTTTCCACATTTGGTTGGTGGACCAGTGCTGTATACCACCCGCTTAATAGCTCTGCTGATAGAAAATGGACTGAAATTGGAAGACTGTAAGCTACTCGGTGATCGAGAAGTCCGAGATGAAGAAGGTGCTACAGGCTTAAATGAGTTTAAAGATTTATTCAAATAACATAACTTTAAGTTTAATATGAAGATAGTTTGAAATTTTTGCGCTGTCGTACTCATCTCTGCACAAATTTATCTAACAAGTGAACTATTCACACAGTCTTCCTCGTAGCAGCAGCAGCAGGTTCTGGCTAAAAATGGCAAAAACTACAGTCTTTTAAAAAGTATACCAGAACTTCGAAAAAATTTAAACAATTTTCCATGCAATTCTATTTATTGAATTTTTTGTTCGAACAGATACTTTTAAAATACATGACCATTCTTTTAAATTAAATTATCTCGTAACTTGCTTTTTTTTTATTAGGAAAAAAATAAATACCACTTATAAATATTAAAGACTTCCTTTTACAGATCGTAATCTTTCAGTAAGCTACATACATATGTTTGTGTATTAATAACTATTTTTTCTTGTGGACTGTATTCTAACAGGCGCACATCGTACATGAGAAGCCTGTGGCATGCACCTAGTTACCACCCTCTCGCCTTAGATTATCTAACAACTCTGCAGGGCTAGCTGCTGTAATGATTTTATGTTGTATAAAAGTATATTTATAAGCTAAAGAAAATGCAGAACAAATGCAATTGAAAAACACCTACCGCTGAATATTTATCGGAGAACCTCAATTTTACTATATTTGTTTATAAGTTTAAAGAAAATTTGAGATCTTTTAATCCTTACATTGTCCATTCCTTATTTATCGAATTACTTTTGTAAGCTGCGTATAGTAGTAAATTGGAGCTTTCAAAATGTGTTATTGTTCGGCCGAGCTTCTCCTCCGATTTATGGCGTACACCTTGATGTCACACGGAGGAGAGGGACCTTAAGTTTTCACCGACTCCGAACGGCGATTTTATTTCTATGAGAAGCTCTTTTTCATGGCAGAACTAACTCCATTCTGTAGGTTTGGTATTACCTATCGAGGGTTGACCGCTATTAGAAAACTTTCTTTTCATTTGCTGCGTGTGGTCAGAGTATTTTGTTACGCATTACTCATAAGTTAAGTTAAACTTTCTAAAGAATAAATTACAATTTCCAGCATATTGTAATAAAATAAATCCTATATTTGTAGTTCCTAACCAATTTTCCATTAAGTTAATAGTTATCCTCATCGTAGCCATAGTAGTCATCCTCTTCACCATCGTTTAGCATATCCTTTAGTGATGAATATTCCCGCTCTGGTTCTGGTTCAGGTTCAGCCTCAACATCAGCGTCTGCATCAGGATCGTCAACAAATTCGTCCAAATCGTCTGCAGCAAGGAAAAAACCGTAATATAATATTCATAACATCAATTGTTTTTGATAATTTAAAATCGAAATAAAAATAAAAACCATTACCATTTTCCACCACAACCGGCTCCTGCTTCGTAGGCGTAACAGCTTCCTCTGCCACTGGCAGGCCCATTTCCAGCTTAGGCACTTTAGGTGCTGGTCCACCGATTGTATAAGCTGGCTTGGCGCGACTGTAAGTAAATTATAAAATTACTTAAATATGCACCTTTACCACATATAAAAAAAAAATCCATTAGTCAGATGTGTATGTATGTACCCATTCTTCGGCTTTATCGGCCCTGTTTCCACAATAATTGGAACATTTTTCATATCCATTGCCTCGGATGTGTCACCCTCAGCCGTTGTTGTGCTGCTGCCAACCGCTGCACCGCCCTCAGTCAGGGTACGTAAAATATCATAGTTAATTTTGCTTGAGATCTTTTTCTCTTGCAGCATCTTCTCAATCGCTTCGCCAGCGGTGTTTGAGGGACCGATAGCCTTTCGACGTGGGCGACGTTTCTTCTTTTCCGGTTTACCTTCTTCGCGTTCTTTGGCCAGACGCTCCTCTTTCTCACGCATTTCCTTCAGATATTCGGCATTCAACGCATTCCACATATTGTTTTTGTACTCGGCCTCTTCATGTGTTAGAATGTAATTGTTGATTTCTTCATCGTCCAAGCCTTCTAAATCTAGATCTTCAATGTCGTCGTTTTCTTTGACCTTTTCCGCTTCTTGCAATTCGCTCGCTGCTGGGCGGCACATAGATTCGATGTCTGGTTTTAGTCCATGTATGACTATTTTTTCGCTTTTTTGTGGCACTATAACTTCAGGTGTGTCGGCTAGACATTCCTTGATCGCCTCAAGATNTTGAGGACCTTGTTGCGGCTCTGTACTTTGTTGACAACTGCGGTTGTGTGCGCGGAGAAAGAGAGCAGGCTATCAAAGGTAACCCCTAAAATTTTCGGGTTGTTCACCGTCGGTATTGGTGTGCCGTCGACGTGAATGCCTAATTCAAGCCTGACCTCCTTCGTCCAGGTGGTGAAGAGGGTCGCCGTTGATTTCGTTGGGGAGAGGGTTAGGCTCCTTGCAGTGAAGAAGCGAGAAAGGCTGTTCTTAATGCCTACTACAAATGTACATAGATGGATAACTATGCATGAAGAGATTTCCATGCAATTGCAATTATTGAATTGTTTGTTATTTTCATTTACTAATTAAAAGTCACCACATACATATGTACATATATCGGCCGCATTTTTATTAATGCAACAGCCTCTTTTATTTCTGAACCATACTAGATACAAATGTTTATTTTGCGGAACTTTATTAAATATTTGTATGCATTTCTTTATGGTTGCGCATATGTAGTACATACATGAGACGAGACAGATTGCATTCATGCGTTTAAAAAGATGGCTATAAGTTGAACGAATTTATTGAAATCTTTAAAAACTACCTTGTTTAAAAAAAAGGTATAAAAAAATAAAAAAATTACTATCGCCCAACGTGGGGCTCGAACCCACGACCCTGAGATTAAGAGTCTCATGCTCTACCGACTGAGCTAGCCGGGCACTTCATAATGTGATGTCAAATGCGCTACAAAACACCAGCTGCCAATTTAAATGCTCAACACTCTTAAGCGACAAGATCACCTAAGAGAGTCTGTGAGAATGTGATTTACAGTAAAAAATTTAAGAGAGAGTGACTTGCATGTATGTATTTAAGATATTACACTTTATGATGTTTTAAATAATAAAATAATAGATTATTACAAAACTAACTTATGTATTTGCATGTACTCAAACCAAAGTATCATTACTCACATCTTTGATACGGTCGCGATCCTTTTTCCGCGCTGCCTTAAAAGCCGGTGGATCTTGCTCGGCTTCCAGATCAACGGACATAAATTCATCCAGAGTGAGCGCGCTGGAGGGAGTGTCGGCGAATTCAATTAACCGCTTGCGTACGGTAGATTCATGTATTTTGACAATGCCAACAATATCCATGATTGTACGACTGAATTCATGCATGCGTGCCGCAATCAATAAAGCTGCAATCGAATTAAGAAAGTAATACACATTTACTTCGTTAGTAAATTACGCATAGATATTTTTTAAAAGCGCTCTATATTATTTATTTTAATAAAAAAAATTACTGCCGCCCGAGCAGGGACTTGAACCCTGGACCCTTGGATTAAAAGTCCAATGCTCTACCGACTGAGCTACCCGGGCATATGCCGGTGCGGCTATTTTTACTTACTAAGAACAATATGCAGTGAGTCACAGTAGTTCATTTCAGCTCGTGTGTACATGCATATGAGCGATTACACAGGGCAACACTAAATAATTTTGGTGCGGAAAATGTTATAGAATGTGATTACCTTTCGGTTTAAAAAACTTTCCATTATTATTTTGAGCACGAAATACTGATTATTTTCTGACTTTAATTTCTAGAGCAAAAATACATTTTACAATACAGTACGTCCTCAGTAAAAGTAACCGATAAATAAGGGGGTTGTTGCGTTGATTGAGGTTGCTGCCTTAATAGGATATTACGAAAATAGAACAGTATACAAATAGTTTTTTTAAAGTATGGCATTCAACTGTTGGGTACGTCCAGTACAACTAATATTGACAAAAAATTTTTCCCAGCAAGAATTCGCAAGAATCACGAAAAATATATGATTTTGGCACATGGTAACATTTTTTCGATGAAAATTTGAATAAAATATATAAACTTGAGTGATTTTCTAATGAAAAATGTAAGTAAATGCTTGGTTGTTTAATTAATTTAGTTAATTCTAACGATTTGAAAGATACTCGGCTGATAGAAACTGCATTCGCAATAGGAATGCAATAGCAATCAGACTCCGACAGTTACCACGACAAAGAAATTAAAACGTATGTTAAAGAATGTCAGAATAACAAGAAATGTACATGTAGATCCTAACTTTTTGTCCATTTAAAATAATTTTAAAAATACTATAGAAATTAATTAGGCCTGAAATGAAACCGTGGACACCAGCTTGCCGGGAAACTTGCAAATTCCTATAAATTTGCGTTCGTGCAGAAATTTGCAAGTTTCTGTACTTGAGAGAGAATTTGAGATAACTTTTGTACTCTCTGATATTTCGAGTGATGGGTAATTCAAATCACAATTAAAATTTATTTTTCATTTGGTCGACAAATCAAATCGGAAATAAAATTTATATAGGATTTGATGCAGCTTTTAATTCAGAAATAAATTTGATTTATGGATTTGTTATTTGGCTAATTAAATTCACGCAAAAACCTGGATTAGAATCGTAACATCCGTTCTCGGATCGAAAACCATACGAAAGAAAATGACGTGATACGTCAGTCGTATAAGATGAACGGGATATAGAGTACGTTCACGTATATCATAATCGGAAAAATGTGTTTACGTGACAAGTTATACGATATCGTATGTGACGAGTCGAGCCCTGAAATGTGCTACTTTTCGACGCGAATAATCTTCCACGGTATTTGAACGACAATATAGTCCTAAAATGTCCTCGTAAGTAGGCTTGAGCATTAGTCATCTGAGCTTATAGCTATGCTATGACAATGAACTGGTAAAATTAAGTCATTGCAAAAACTTATTTTGGGATATGGGACAAATACGGGGCATTAAAAAGGAAAAACAAAACATTTGTCATCCCATATAAACTAACAGAACAATTCTGGTTAAGACAGTTGAAACAATTTTGTAAGACATAATTGCAAGAAAGTAGGAACGATCGTTTGAAAGATTTTGTTTATTCTGGCGCGAAAGTCTTACAAAAAAAGCTTCCTTTCCCACTTTCACGATGAAAAGCTTTTTTTACATAAAGCACTTCTATATTATTTTGCTCTAACGAGAAAAGCACTGGTGAGCCATACGAGAGATCCAAGGTCAAGTACTCGAGCAGCGGATTTTTTTATATGTTTAAAAATAATATTTTGCTACCTTTTTAATCTAATTTTCTTTTAATTAATATTGTTTTAAAAATAAAAATACATATGTTTAATTAAATTTTTAGAAATTCATTTTATTTTCAAACTATTCCTTTTAGTTTAATTTTTTTTGTTTTAAAAAGTAAAGTATTTTTTATTTTCATTTAACTCTTAGAATCTATTTTTATTTTTTTAGTTTAACTTTTTTTAAAAATTTTTTTCAAGTTTTTAGATGTTATTGTTTCAAAAAGAAACATATTTTTTAATAATAATTAATTTTGAGAAATTTAATTTCTTAATTTTTTCTTTTTAATTAACTTTTATTTTGATTTCTATTTTTAATGTAATTCTTAGGTTTTTTCTTTTACAAAGAAATACATATATTTTTTTTAATTTCATTTATTTTTTAAGGAAACTATGACTTACCAGCACCACATAACCCGGTCGGTCGCCGACCAGAGTGGAGCGAGTCCTTTTTCATGCGTTGGACAATGCGTAGGGCAGTCATGGAGACTTCATGCGTCTTAGCGCCAAACTGTAGTTTATTTGCGAAGCGCATGATATACAAGCAGGGATCTAGAAGAGGGAAGAGAAATAAGAGAAGGCTAAATTATAATATATAAATAAGCAAAAACAAATTAGTACAAATATGTGTGTGAGCTTTTGAAAATGCGGAAGCAAGAATAAGGAAGTGCGCTGTACTTCAAAAATATTTATAAGAACCAAAAACAAATCACATAACAAGTATAGAGTACAAGAAACTAACAAAATAAAAACAAATACATATCTATAAATATGATGGTGATTTCGCCTTCAAGAAAAAAATCAAAGTTCGATTTGCACAAAAAAGGCAAAAAAATAATTGCTTAATCATGTAAATATACTCATTTTAGTTTATGGCTAGAAAAATTAGTTATTTTTGAAACTTTTTAAAATACACATACATATTTATATACAATAAAATTTCACTGTTTAGAAAAAAATCTTAACGCTCATACAAATAATCAAAAATTTATTAGCAATGCGTCAATACAACCTGTTGTCTGTCGACCGCCAACCAAGCAAGCTAAGAGGTAAGACAAGAATTTGACCTTGAATATCAAACAAAAAAAAAAAAAAAAACAGGTACTCGCCAAGGCATTCACTCGAACGACTAATTGACCAAGTGGCCGACGGACCAGTCAACCCACTAGACAACCAGTCAGTGAAAGAGCAACTTGCTGAGGCGGACAGACGCACGCATGCATGCAGTTGCGTGCAGTGCGGCAGCTGCTCGCCGGCTCCATTCTCAGTCAGTACCAAGCCTCCGTTAAAGTTGAAGCTGCTGTCGTCGTTTGCAGCGACAAAAATCTTGAACCCGATCTTGAGCAAGTGCGCGGTCGACGCATGCCCACAGCCGAATTTCAGTGTGCAACAACAAACAGGTGGAATGCTACATTGCAGACTGGTTTTCTGAATTAAATATATTTTTTATTTGGTTGCTCATTTTTCGCCGCTTCGTACATTATTGAATAAATTGTTATTCAACTCGCCGCAAAAAGGTGTGAGCAAAGTTAACGTGGTGATAAATCCAATATAAAACAAAATTTTGTATGAAAAAAATTTAAAAATAAAATGAAAAAAAAACTGCAAATTTCGTTTGTAAAAAACAAAGAAATTTTAAAATAAAAATATGTACATACATATAGTGGTACAAGTAAATTTACTTACTCACATGCATACCCGCATATGTAGGCGGATGTTTGCAAAAAAGTTGAAATAACCAAGTGTAAACACTCTGATGCTACAGAACAAAAGACTAAAGCAACAAACTTGTATTATTCACATGCCGGCCGGTTGGATTGCGCAAAATCTCATTTTCGGATTGCTCCGTGATATTTAGTTCGCAAATAGGATTTTTTTTTTTAAATATTGTTTCTGGTTTTGCAACTTACTGTTTGCATAACTTATTTTCTGCGAATTCAGCTTTTTAAATACGGATTACACGCGTAGGCTTGTAAAAATTGATGAGTTTTAGAAAAAAAAGCGATAAACAAAACGTTTCGATAAAGAATTAACCGCCGGACTTCTAGGAAAATTAAAACTAAGATATCTTAAGAAACATTTGTGGTTTTATTTAGTGTAAAACTAAATAAAATTTTAAATTCAAATAAGTTTCAAATAACTTTGTGCTTAAATTAAGGCCCTGTCTCCACAGGAAACCACTGATGTCATGATAATCATGCCAAGAAATATATTGCCAATGGAGACCGCTGATTGCTCATCGCCGGCAATATATGTCATAGCTTATTGCTTGATATCTATTGCAGGCAATCTGATAGTTTGACAGCCGTATTTTCATTTGAAAGAAAATGTGTTGGTGGTAACATCGCTGAAATTTTGATATTAAATTAAACTAAGAAGCTGTGCCCTATTGAATTATTTATGATTACGTTTTGGGAAATTAATCAGCATGGTTTTGGGATTTGCGTCATGTGGTAAATGCTTACATCAAGACATCAAAGTGCCCACATACAAATACTCATCAAACATATTGCACGTAACTATCTGTCAAAATGACAGTTAGTAGGCAGTCGGAGTTCTGAGGTAAGTTAAGGAAGAAATTACACGAAATTACAAAAAGAGACAAATTCTACTAACTCAGGTTATATCTTCAGGAGCATTTCAATAATCATACCTAATTGCTTATTTAACTATTTTTTAATACAAACGATTTCTTATTGGTCTGCCCATTGCATTTTTCGAGGTTTTTGTGGATTTTTGGCGGACCTATAAATTATAGTTGCGATGAAAAAATTGTTAAATAAACAATTGGGTATTATTATTGGGAATCTCCTGTAGATAAACAGGGTTTTCCGATCGAAAAATGTTGATTCTTAAGAATTCAAAAGTTGGTTTTTACCCATATAAAATTTGGGCGATTCGAGCGAGCTCTAAATATTTTTTGATTTCAAAATAAAAAAATAGCGATATATTTTTTCCGGTATAGAACAATCCTAGGGAGTGAGAGCATAAAAATTCCGACTTTACTTTTTCACACACATTTTTGGACCACCCTAGGTATATATCAGAAGGGATTTAATCTGAAAATATTTTTTAGGGGTTGCCACCTATTTGAAAAATTAACATCGATTAATTATAAATTAGATAAAGTATCACAACATTGTGAGTGTGAAACAGAAGGAGTTAAGAAAGGCTTAATTTCGAAAATATTATTTATGGCCACCTGGTCAAAAAGCAAAAAGAAAAAAAAAAGAAAATTAACCAGTTAAACGAAATAGTTTAATATAGGCATCAAACTTGAGAGGTTTAATAAAAAATATTTTTAAAAGGAGCTGCCACCTGTTTAGAACTTCATAATCAATTTATGTAGGAAGTTAAATAAAATATTTGAATGCGGGTATTAGGAGAGAGGTTTTCTGCTTTACATCCCGCCAAAAAAACGATACGGTCTAACAAAACTTTGTAAGTCCAAATTTCAAACTTTGTACAAAAATTTTAAAAATTCAACTAAATTTTTCCAGCTTAAAGTAAGCAACAAGCTAGAGAGTGGAGTGGAGGTTAAATCGAAATCGATAAATATATCGATCAAAATAATTACACCAAATAATATACATATACGAGCACACGTTGATAAACCAATGATTAGCGCACTGTCATGCGCTCCAAGTCTACTGTCAAATTTTGTGCAGGTTATCTCTTTTCAGTGGCGGTAAATTCAAAACTTTACCTCATTTAATTTAGACTCCCCGCCATTGAAAAGAGACAACTTCGTAAATCGAATCGTGACGAACATGGAAGAAACTGATTTATTGCGCTTGAAAACCAACACTGAAACCAAGTAAAGCTTTGATGAACACTTAAGCATTGAAATACCAAATTTTCAATTTAAATTTAGAAACTTGTGCAAATAAATTTCCAATCACCAATAAACATTTTGCAGCGCATAGAGAAACTCTCCATACGGAAATAATCGGTTTACGCACGTACCTACTCTTAATTTCTCATTTTCTTGTATTCGCATCGAAAAATAAAATCAATCCGAAATTACCTTGCATAATAAAGGTCATTTGACGTTATACTGCGTTTGTATTTATATACAGATATATGTATGTTTATATGTATAGTGTTGCCCAGAGTACAACTTTTAAGTACTTTATTTAGAGCACAAATTTATTTAGAATAACTTTTTGACGCCACAATTTGCTTCACGCACGCAGAAACACATAAATTCGTCAATGCTAAACCCAACCGCAACTACATTCAACTAACCGTACTTACATAACTACATACATATAGTTATAAGTATATTAGGGTGGAGCCACCGATGGAGTCCGCTCGATTGATATTTACTCTACCCACAACGAGTTTAAAGTTTTGAAATCTGCGCAAAACCTCACAACTGGCTGCAATAGCTTTGACGTGTTCCGAAAGACGAAAGGCGATATCTTCTGGACCAAAGGACTTTGCGTAAGAAGAGGGTTGACAAAGTGGACCTTAAGTCATCAAAAGCTCTGCACAAACGTGAGTAAAGAAAGTCTAGAATTTCGTGTGCTGCATCCGATGACGACCTAAAAAATATACGAGGCCTTTATTTTTATGGGCGTACAGACAAAAGTCCTGTGCATGTTAAAGAAGAGGATAGATTTCATAGGTGCAAACAAATGGAGGAGCACATTTTTCTTGTCCAGTAGCTGGGTTAAATGTACGTTGGCAATGCCACTCCAATATCTGGTACTGGTACAGAAACAGCTCGATGTATTTGTTGATATAAATACATCTTGATGGTGCCACTACTGGGCCTAGCACATTATCTGGATCATTCGGATAGTAATGCGAAAATACCCTCTGTATTTTTAACCCTTCTGTGGCATCGTTGGTACAGCTATACCAATTCGGTTTTTTTTTAACGCATTTTGAATAACATTAATGCATCTACGAAGCTAAAACTTTATGAATGTTTCACATAAACATTTACGAATTAATTCGTGGAATTTTTTTAGTGTTTCGTTTGTGGGTGAAAGTGGCTAAGGTATATCTATAACTTCATTGACATCCTTGATAAAATTTTACAGCAAGCAAAATTAATGGAATTGCAGATTTTTTTTTCTGTATACTTATTGACCACAAAAACGAATTAAAATATAAACTGACGGAAGAAACTTTTGGTGAAAAGATTTTTTCATATTAAATGCAACAATTTTTATTTAAGTTATTTATTAAAATAAGGTACATACTACAGTAAAACGGCGGGAGGGGGCATAAAGAGAAGAGGAGGGCAAGCTGATGAAGGTGACATTCCTGCAACTCACAACAGCCTCCGTTTGAATCTCTAATTCAATACTTATCTTAGTACCGCTAAAGTTGCTTATTTGACGATTTTTGTGCTCTACTTTGCTCATTAAATTTGTTTGACTGGATTCATGCATTTATTTTAATTAAATTTTTTTTTTTTCAAATTACTTTGCTTATGACGTTGTCAAGAATGAAGTTTAAATTTGCATCGTATGCAGATTTTAAAACTTTAAGCTCGATGTGTGTGTAGTAAATATCAATCGATCTTGATGCAATTTCCA